AATGTTATTAAACCAGTGTTGAAATTAGTTTGTGTCTGCATATCTTTTGTCATTTCATCAGGCATTCCCCTGATAGACACTTACACAAAGTTTGAACATTCTACCTCAATTAGAAAGGGGGTTATTGTGTTCGAAAGTCTCGACCTATCAGATTGAAGTCCCTACAAAGCCTAAGCAGAAAATGCTCATCGTCGAACTTGGTCAACGTAGTCCAGGGGCGGATCCTAGATAGTCCAGGGGCGGATCCAAGAATTTTTGCAGGAGGGGGTTTCTCAGGTTCCTGTAAAAAATGTATCCCCCGCCCCCTCGGCTTGAAATTTTTTGAGAAATACATGGTCTCTATCGTCATTTTGGCGTACATACATACACATGGATCTTTTTAAACAGAGAAATCCAATATCCTGTTTAATACGATGACATTGTGATTCAATTTTATTGATGCAAAGCATTAATTGTGATATCGCATATGTCTATATCATTATCTCGCGCTTTGAGTGCCCATCCTGTCGCACCATCTGACGATAAAGGATAAAGCACAATTATGCGCCTGCGTACTGATGTAATGAAACTATACACGAAGATTCACATCTATCACTCAATTAGAATCCAAGCAATCAAGCTCGAAAGTCTCGACCAATCAAATTGCTTATAGTTCTGTTTAACTTGAGCAGAAAATGCTCATTATCGCGCTTAGTCAAAGTATTGATGTAATGAAACTGTACATCAAGTTCCATCACTCTGACTTAATTAAAACCAAAGTAATCGTGTCCCAACGCATCAACCAATCAAATTGTGTATCACTCTTTCGCCTAAGCAGAACATGCTCATCTTCAAACGCCATCACGGTATTCGCCTAATAAACACCTAGCTCAATTAGAATTATTGCGTCCTAAGAAGTATGAAAGGCAGACGGACGGACGGACCCATTTTCATAGTCTCCGGTTTTCTTCAAAAGGCATGGGCAAAAACAAGCAGAAGTGAGAGCACAGTGGAAATGTTAAAAAGCTGATGGAAAAATCGTATCTCGCAACAGAGGTTGAATATTTAAATGAACTCAATTGGCTAGTTTGAAAAATGAATGGCCATTTTTATTCAAAAGAGAGCATTCCTTAACCATTTTAGTACATTAATGAAATATGTTTTGCTAACTGTTGAAGTCAACGTTATTGTGAATAAACAATTGGACCGCTTCACCAGTTATTCCAAACAGGATGCGCTTACTTTCGAAGTCTTTAGTGCAGAGTACCCGACAAAATTATTCTGTGTCTATTTTATTTTAATGCATACATTTTGTTGAAGACCAAAAGGAACTAATTACTTGTAAGGTAAATATAGTAGGTATTACTTCTTGTAATCACATCTGACTACACATCAATAAATGTTACTGATATTTCTTTAAATTCTTTTACCAAATGACCCACTTCAATAGTATCATCCTTTGAATCATATTGTACGTTATAGACATCTCCTTAATGGTCATCAACATCACAATCTGATTAAAATACAGATCTATATTTCGTTTCGTTTTTTTTTATACATTTGATGGCCTGCACAACATGAAGATACGAGCGGCTATTAACCCTATGACGTCAGACATTTGATTAGCCAATTAGTATTGATGTTTCTAGTGCATGTGCATTACACACAGTTCCGTAACAGACCGTTTCATTGGCTAATGCCTCACACCAACCAGAACACGTCCAGTTCCTAGTGTAGTAAAGACAAGTAAAACGAAATTTCTAACTATAAAAAACGAAACGAAATAGGATCTGTGTTTTAATCAGATTGATGAACACCGCTAACGAGCTGAAAAACCAACCTATTATACAACAGTATATACAAAGTTACCAGTTTCGTATGTAAAATGCATGAGAATTGTGCCAATAGTCTAGATAGAATTGTCCATACCAATGAAAAAAACCGTTTCATCATGTTTTCTAGTGTATAGAAAAAACCCTCATCATGTGTTCTTCTGGAAAGAAAGAGAGAGAGAGAAATGGGGTTTAACGTCCACTCGAAACAAACTAGGTCATTTCGGGACTAACATATGGTTTAATTTTATTTCAATAATTCGCTTGCGGGTAGGGGTCTTTAACAGTGGGAGGAAACCTGAGGACCCGGAGAAAACCCACACGGTTGGACAGGCGACCTTATTCATTTTCACGTAAAACCGGGGATTCTTCTGGAAAGAAAAAAAACCCAGAAGAATAACCCCCAATTCCCCTGGATATGCTTTCACAGCCGCCCCAAGCTTTCAGATCACAAGTTATTCCTGGCATAGGAAAACCTGGAAACCTCAAAGAGATTTACCTTTACAGGTTTATAAAAAAAGATTAAAATAAAGAGCTAGTCGTTCTTGCAAACATACTCGTGGTTCGAAAATAGATAATGACGAATTACTTTCTTCTGAACGAAGTGAGGAGTGTTTAAAGTTTTGACAAGATATTTTCAATTGTCGGATATCATTGGTACAAAGTCTCTATTATCAATTTTATCGTTAAATTATTAAATGGCGAGATTGTTCTAATCCATTTAATATCAAAGCCATCCGATTGTCTAGAGATTTGGTTAGGGGCGTTGTAGCACCATGGGTCGTTTGTCAGACGTGGAGAACGGCAGACGCTAAACCGGTCGCCACATCTGGCGTATAATTCATACATCGTTTCTTACTACATATTTTGGAACAGCCCTTGATCGTCTAGGGGGGATCACGTGGCTAAGTGGGTAAGACGCTAGCTCGCTAGCCTGGAGGTCGGGTGTTCGATCCCTGCATTGGCCGAGAAAGTTCATCCAGATTTTCCGGCGTGGTTCTCCCTTGTCAGTGATGCAGGACGGAGGGGCTGACAAGGAAAGTTGTCTAGTCGTTCGGATGGGACGAAATACCGAGGTCCCGTGTACACATTGGCGTGCACGTAAAAGATCCCTTGGCAGTTGGAATTCGATATAAGAGTAGGCCGTAGTGCCGCTGTCCGGGCAAAATTTCCCTCATAGCACACTGTATGGCGCATGCCCGTCTTCATTAGCACAGGTTAGGAGCAGAACAGTAGGACGTTAAACTCCATTTCATTTCATTTCATTTCATTTGATCGTCTAGGAGTTGGTTGGCTCTGGACTGGCTACTGTTGTATCTCTTTTTTTAAGGACTTCACCATTGTGTTTTCTTACGATACCGACTCAAATATAGCAATTGGGCAATCTGATTAAAATTCAGATCTATATTTCTTTTTTTTATATACTTTCGATGGCCCACACTACATGAAGATCTGGCCAATTGTTGTAGGAGGTCACGTCAGAGGTCATGCGAGCGACTTTTAACACTACGACGTCAGACACTTGATTAACCAATAAACATTGATGTTTCTAGTGAATAGTGCACCTCACGCCAAAAGCTCACCGTAACAGACCGTTTCACTGGCTAATCCCTCACATCATCCAGAACACGTCTATGATAACAACTCTTCTAGATCCTAGTGTAGTAGAAAAGTAAAATGAAATTTTGAGCTATAAAAAAACGAAACGAAATTTAATCAGATTGCCAATTGGGTCGAAACCTGCCTGATCAGAGCCGATAAGAATTCGTTACTAAATTAACTACCAGCCCTGGTACTATATTTACATCTAGATATGCAATGGTACTATATTTACATCTAGATATGCAATGGTACTATATTTACATCTAGATATGCAATGGTACTATATTTACATCTAGATATGCAATGGTACTATATTTACATCTAGATATGCAATGGTACTATATTTACATCTAGATATGCAATGGTACTATATTTACATCTAGATATGCAATGGTACTATATTTACATCTAGATATGCGATGGTACTATATTTTACATCTAGATATGCAATGGTACTATATTTACATCTAGATATGCAATGGTACTATATTTACATCTAGATATGCAATGGTACTATATTTACATCTAGATATGCGATGGTACTATATTTACATCTAGATATGCGATGGTACTATATTTTACATCTAGATATGCAATGGTACTATATTTACATCTAGATATGCGATGGTACTATATTTACATCTAGATTACACTTTTGCAACCCAATAAACGCTGTAAAATTAATGCTGTTCTAGGATTTATTCCCCAATAATAGTTACACCCTTTGGTGTAAATGCAGTATAACACTGGTAGTGGTCTAGCTTATCCAAAACACCCCACAATGGCACCTATTCAGGTGTTCAGTATTCATGAATATCGGCCACACTTGTTAGGTGTAGTTCTTTAAGTTGATAACCGTTGAGAAGGTATTACATTTAAAAAACGCTAGCTGTGGTGTAAAGTTTACAATTAATTACCACTGCTTATAGTTTTTAATTACACCCATTTTTAACAGTGTACTATTTTATAATTAGACACAAGATGGTATTATATTTACATTTGAATACGATAGTACTATATTATTTACACCTTGATGCACGACTGTACTATTTTACATCTAGATACAAGATGCTACTATATTTTACATCTATATAGATATATATCTATATATATAGATACATGATGGCGCTATATATATACATCTAGATACGCCATAGTCACAGTGGCTCAGTTAGTAAGACACTAGCCCATTCACCAGGAGATCCGGTGTTGGCCAAGAAATTTCCCCTCGTCAGTGGTGAAGGATGGGGTGCCTGGTGACGGGAAAAACAGGAATTCTGCGTAGAGAACCCTGTACAGCTGGAATTCATAAGCCCCTTTTCATGCAGAAAAGTGGAATGTTAATCCCAATTTCTGCCAGGGATGGTCGTGTAATTAGAACCCCAGACCAATACACCCTTTCTAAATGGATTTATATGCTAAATAGAACTTAAGTTTTCAACAAATGCTGCTAGTGACCATTTTACAAACACATACTTATTGTTTTAACAAAAATGATATTCAAGTTTTTAGATCAGGTTCAAATACTCCCCAATAAATCAGCCTGCACATGAAATTGAACATGGGTGATGACAACAAACACATTGGTGGTTTCATGAAAGTAATATATTATATTCAACCCATATCAGATACAATAGAACATCTAAATATCAAAGTGAATAACCAAGTTCTATTCATGGACATACAAAACCAATGATACTTATTGACTGGAAGAAATTCACAGTTCCTCTGATGCCTGGCATTCTACCAGGAACATATTGTTCTTGTTTTTTTAAATGGATATTATTAATGTTTTCCCAACACAAACTAAAACTCTTATATACAATTAAGCTTGTAATTCCAAACCTTCTCTAATAGTCTTTTTATAATAATATATACTTATAATCACTTTATTCTGGTCAATCTCAAGATGCTTTCTTTAACTTGCCTAATTTTTCTGAAAGACAATGTGAAATAAATTATGTTATATTGTGTAGCATAGAGTTAAGAGTTTAAAGAGAGAGAGATAAATGGGGTTAAACGTCCACTCGACACAAACTAGGTCATTTCGGAACTAACATATGGTTTAAATTTCAATAATTCGCTTGCGTGTAGGGGTCTTTAGCAGTGGGAGGAAACTGGAGGACCCAGAGAAAACCGATGAGGTTGGACAGGCAACCCTAACCCTAACACCTTGTCACGTACAACCGGGGATTCGAACCCACACCAGGCCTTATGATACATCACACACATGCTAACCATTCGTCCATCCAAACCACCCCCCCCCCCCCCGAGTTTAAAGGATACTACCTGTTTGTTTGGGGTTAGATATGAATAAAAGTATAAATAAAAACATGTCTAGGGTCTTTGAAGGGCATACGTGTGACCTCAATAACAGTATCCAGTATTCATAGTGCTAAGGTTTTAAACGACTAACAACTATAATGTACTTTAAGTGTGACTGAAGTAAAACAACATACACAGTAAATGATTACATGTATGTAGTGCTAAGGTACTATAATGTACATTTTCCATTACCTGTTACTTTAGCCAGTTCCTTGTCTTTATTTGATAAAAATAAAATATCACTGTTAGTTTGCTTTTGATAGACTTTCTGAAAAAAAAATAATTTACTAAAATTTTAAACCAAAGAGCTTCAAATTTTGTTCACCTAGTAAAATTCCCAGATTATTTTCTGAACACTTTTTATAAAAACTTGTATCATACCAGAAGAAGTCTGTGAGTACACAAGGAATAAACTTCTTTTCAAATGCTTTCAATTGTTATTTATTTACTTCCAACTCTGTTGTATATTATGTGTTTTGTGTTTATCATACATTGTAAACAATCTTATCATTTAGATATTCTATTAACATTTAATTATGTGAAAAGCCCTGTACATAAAGCCCTTCATGAAGACTGTGACATGTATAATTTTGTACTGGGTCAATAATAATAATACAATACTTTGGACAATTTGAGAATAGCATTTTGGTGGGTTTTTTTTTTCTCTTCCAATTTACAAATGAAGGATAAAAGTCTGCCATGGCAGTGAGTAGCATTTTTCGCCTACTCTTTGCATGCACTGTGTAACCGTTAAAATATTTAGCTGTATATTATATACTTAATACTATGTATATTATATAAGGTACTAACAGCGCCTGTCTTCAAACTTTTCAGTTCTGACTCTAAAATTGTCAGTTCTTTAATCTGAAATATATTATGTGAAAATTTAAAAAAATATATGGCCCTACATTAAATGATTATATCCACTGAGTTTCAAGAAATCAATGTAAGAAGATAATTAGACATTTATAATGCTGTCTCCACTAGAAGCCTACTAGTAGTCAGGCCCGTAGCCAGCTTGCTAGCTTCGGAGGGGCAGTGAGGTTTTTAGGGGGGGGGGGGGGCACACCTGGCACAGTCTACAGTAGGTATTTTAGAGCTATGGTCGGCATTTTTTTTTCGGGGGAGCTACGGGCCTGCTACTAGTAGACCCACATGTGACATTTACATGACAAAAGGTTTGTGCTAGAATCGAGCTTGGGAACATAATTGACATATTAAAATTTCTTTCAAAATACTTAACTAAAATACTGGGCCACAGAATAAGTTGTCATTTGTGTTCGAGAGAATAAATCGTACCAATCTGTTCAGTATCAGTAGACATAAGACTAAGACACAGTTCCATGGCCACTCGTTGCAGATTATTTAATTTAGCTTGTTCTAAAAGTAAGGCTTTTTATATTGATCGCGACGTCTACCTTTTTGTATTTTGCTAATTCAGCCAGCTCCCTGTTCTCCATTTCTTATAGATATAGCTAGTTAGACCGTAGAAAAAACAGAAGACACTATCCCTCCATTGAAAATGATTACATTTTACTACTTTTACTTTACCTTTTCCTGTAAATGAGAATTACTTCCCTTTGACCGAAATCAAGATTTCACTCAAAAGAAACTGTATGGAAGCCTGTAACTACCATTCCTAAATTCTACTTTTCGCCCCTTCAAAACACGAGAGTCGAAAAGTAGAAGTTACGACAAAATGTGAGGCGACAGCACGCTATACAAGCCAAAATCGACTTGAAAATAGGAAATTAAGAAATAATAGGCCTTACACAGCGATAAAAGCGCCCCTCGTTATTTTCTAATTTCTAGTTTTCGACTTGCATTTTGGCTTGTATTCCGTCTTGTCGACTTTCGACCTACTGTGTGAACCATCGTAAATTTTAAACGGATTTCTTCGATTATGAACAAACTACTTAACTTTGGTTATTATAAACTTACCTGTGTTTGTAATGAACTCCCGTTCGATAAAATCAATTGCACAACTAATTATCACAACGATGAGAACAAGTTCTCTCTTGAAAAATTTGAAAATTTACTTGTAATTTCGACAGAGTCGATGTCAACAATGTCTTCGTGACGTATTGGTCGATTCCAATATACCTGTTGCGGGGGTTGGTTAACATTGAAAGATAGTTTGACAGCGCGATCATTTTGATCGTATATGGGTTTGGGCGACGAAAAATATCAATTGAAGGCAATTACATAAGAGATTTATATGGAAACCATTGATCGCCAGTCTATCAAATTTTCTTCACAATTAAAATATCACTGATTGCACGGATACTCGTAAAAATAAAGTCAAGTATAAACTATAAATATTCTATCTTGTTTATGGTTTAAATAATTTAACAAGGATCATGAAGCTTACCTCCGAATTCTCTGAGTGTATTTTTAATTTTATACGCATTCTTTCGATCGAATAATAACCGCTTCAGTAACATCTTTAAGCATGTTGCGGCAGCCCTCAGCGTGCCTATTGGGTGCCCGGGTGGGTATATAATGCTACTAAGCCCGTATGACCCCGTAAGAAGCGGAACATTAATTCTCGATTCGACAGTTTTGACCGAAGTGTGATAAAGCCCGTAAAACGAATGTATAGTTGTGTTTGTGCGGCATGCGTGTTCAAAAGTAAATTATCCCATCCGAGTCGCTAATCAAATAATTAGAACAAAATATTTCAAAAAGTAAAGCTATAAAATTTGCAGAGATTTTACTAGAATGTAAAAGACGGTAACTAAATACAGGAATGCGGGTAGTTATGTGTGCGAACGCTCAAACTCAATGCCAATTGTCGTAGGTATCCAGACCACTCGGACCAAAGACTACTCGGACTAAGACCAGTCGGACCAAAACAAGACCAGTCGGACCAATTAAATTATATTATAAGGCTAGACAATATGCTATTTATTTATTATTAAATCACAATACAAAGAAGCAAATAATTCTTAAACGGAATTCTTATATTTAGAGTTGTTTAGTTCAATTTTGTGTACGGAAAATAAATCAACGATTAGTTTTAAAATTAATTTATAATGGTGCCAAAAAAAAATATCAATCTAGTTTTTCTTATTTACTCCTGCAATGAGACTCGGTATGTCCAGACTTTTGACAGTTTCTGAATATACGGGTATACTGTTCTTGTCTGATAGCCTAATTTCAATTATTCCACATTCGCGGTATCCCCAGTGGTTTCATTCCGTTCTACCCAACTAACCCCTGGGTTACTATATATGGGGGGAGGGGGGTGAGACACGTTTTCAAGTTATCCGCCCTTGATGCGTTAATATAAACAGCACATAATAATACGAAGACCGGACGTTTATATGCCCCTTTTTAAACGTGACTAAAAGTGTGGTTCTCGATATTTTGCGATTTGGGATACAATTATCAATTTATTCAAACAACACATTATTATTAGTTCGAGTAGTCATATCAAAACACACACAATTATCAATTTATTCAAATAACACTTTATTATTGGTTCGAGTAGTCATATTAAAATAAACACAATAATCAATTTATTAAAATAACACTTTATTATTGGTTCGAGTAATCATATTAAAACAAACGCAATTATCAATTCATTAAAACAACACTTTATTATTGGTCCGAGTCGTCTTTCTGTTGGGTCCGAGTAGTCTATTTGTTTGGGCTGAGTGGTTTATCAGTTGGTCCGACTGGTCTTGAACCGAGTGGTCTTTGGTCCGAGTGGTCATGGATTCTTGTCGTAATTGTACTTGAATTTCCTATGCTGTCACCCCTAATACGAAATGATATCTTCCGCAGAGCGACGTAACCATCTTCTATATTGGTATTTTTCTTTGGGAAAAATTTGTGATATTTCAATTTTTCAAGAGAGAACTTGTTTTCATCGTTGTGACAATTAGTTGTGCAATGGATTTTATCGGACGGGAGTTCATTACAAACACACAGGTAATTTATAATAACCAAAGTTAAGTAGTTTGTTCATAATCGAAGAAATCCGTTTAAAATTTACCAAGACTCAGACAGTAGTCACATTTTTGTATTTATTGATGGCAGTAAGAAGGCGCTAACACGCTATACAAGCCAAAATGCAACTCGAAAAGTAGAAATTATGAAATTGTGTTAAAACACACCGCGCTATTAGCGACCTATCATTTTGGCTTGCTGTCGTACTGTCGACTTTTCGAGTTTCGCCTCAATAGATTGTTGGGTTATGAAAGTTCAGTGAATATTCAACTTCAAATGACAATGATTACTACACGTGCATTTCTTAGTGTGCGCTACTATTCGCCTATAAATAGCCACCACACGTGACATTCTACTTATATCTAACTTATATAAACCTCCAAAATTCTGATACTAACGAATCGTACTTACAGTAATATTTAGATTGTCAGTTGTGAAAACAAGTTCAAAAACTACTTTGAAACATGTCTTTCCATGTACAAACTGTGCGATTTGATGATATATTTAGATTAATTAAATCATATTCAAGCTAATTTATCAATTTTTAGCTTCAAATCCCTCCCAAAACATTCATATCGCTAGTAAATACGCCAATCTTTTTTAAGCATCATTATTTGTGACGTGACTGGACTATTGCGGCAACCAAACAATCTGGGGGAAGATTAATTTTCCACTTATTTGTCTGAAATCGCTGTCCATTTATAAATATCGAAGCCCAAGTAAATTATGGGAATATCTTCTGCTCACTTCTTTTTCCGCTGTTTAATCACAGAGAATGTTTAGTCTCTCACTGTTCTGACAACCGCTAGCCATTTGATCAACATATAACGCGCTCCATGAAAACCTTTTCATTTCTGTCCTGTGGCCTGCGCCATGGGTGCTTTTCGGGGAATCCAGGTTTTTTCTAGTAAGATTGAGTGTCTCCAAATACCAGTATGGTCATATTTTTATTGGGAATAACTACCATATAATTACTTTCGTGGGAATGCACCTTTAACTATGCTACGGTACTTCATAAACTTTGCAAGGATTCTTTTACGTGCACGCAAATGTGTATATCGGGAAACAGTTTTTCGTCCAATCCGAACGACTACACACTGTTCTCTGCCAGACCCCCCGTTATGCAACACTGACAAGCGGAAAATGCTAACTTAGCCACGGTGCAAGAAAACGTAAGAGGTTAAACCCCATTTCATTTGTTAAAAATACAAAACTCTACATGAGGTATATAAATATGTAAGTAGTTTTAATGATCAACTATTTATATATTACCTACTATATAAATACACGTATTTACATACAATAATATCATCTTCCATTTCAAATACAATAATATCATCTTCAAATATATAACTTATACTGAAACAAATACATATACTAGTTCTATAGTTTCTTCTTTACTATGGTGGGGATAATCATCTCTACTTCATTTCTTTTACCGAAACAGTCTGTACGTTTCTATGATGGGGTTAATCACCCAGATTTAACCCTCTAGAGTTGAACACCCCTTCAACCTAACTTTAAAGTGATTATATTATCTTTTTTATCGAAGAAATCGACATACTATATCTATAGTATGTGATCCTTACCAAAATTACCGTTCTAACATTTTTTAATGGGGTGGGTGGGGGGGCGTTCTGGGGTTTTTTTTCAGGGGTGGGGGAGAGATAACCGCCTGTGTGCCCCTCTAATATTTAAATCTCATATTTTTTTTTATCTTATTGGAATAACCATACGGTATTATCAGGGACGGACATCCTGAGCCCCATTTTCTCCCAAATTCCTAAGTTTCTTTTTCCACAAAATATCCAACAAATTTTCTGTTGTACTTTTGTAAAAGTATATGGTGGTCGGGTATCCAACCATCGTCATTTCTGTTGGGTTTTTTTTTTAAGTAAGTAAATGAAATGAGGTTTAACGTCATACTGTTCTGCTCCGATTTTGCTAATGAAGAGGGTTTAAAGTAAGTTGAATAATTAGTTAGAACCCCCACCACACTACGTCAGATACAGGCCATGTTTAATTTTACACCATCCAATTCAAATTACAAAAAAGTTTACATAAACCGTTGGCCACTTTCACATCACATTAAAGGAGGAATTTTAACAAACAATTTCAAAAACAATATTATAATATCCTTCTTCTAATCTTCTTGATTTTTGTATAAAGTTTGAAAAATTGTTGCAAGCACTTGATTGCCACAGGCGCCATCTTCTCATAGGCAAGGTATTCTCTTCTCACGAGCAAGGTATTCTCTTGATTGTCCCACCTTATCACGAGCAAGGTATTCTCTCGATAGTGCTTGACCTGATGGTTTTTACTCACACGCTGCTTTATCCATGATTGGGAAATGACACATTTTGCATGAGCCAGTTATGAAAGATTTTCGTGCCATTTTTGTTATATAAAGTTTTTAGATAATTTAATTGGTCATTGTTTAATATGCTCATGTTGATGAAAAATTGGGTAATGTCGTTTAATTCAAATCTGAAGCTTTGACATTTCATATTTTAAATATTGCTACAGATGAGGAAATGTTTGACACCACTTAAAGGTTAAAGATCCCCTGTGAAATCCGTCACCACTGCATCGCATGATAATGGAGTGTACTAGACAAACACAGACATGCAACACTGGGAATTAGATTAAAGACTATCAGTAGGGTATTATTACATGATGGGGGCACCGGTCACATGAGTGAGGTTTGACTGTATATTGGTCTTCAGGATGAAAACTTACAAGCAAGACACGAGTTATCTGTCCTTAGATACCATTGGTTAACCACGTGCCTTTCAAATAAAGGAATCTTAATCTCCAGAGCACTCTCCTAAAAAGCTAAATACCTTGACTGCGAAAGGATGGGTTGCTTAAAACGCAAATTAAAATATAGTATTAAAGGTACGTAACTCGTTACATCTAAATTCAAATAATAACAAAATAACAAAATGGGCACTGCCAACTCTTCATCTTTAAATTGGCGAGAAACTTTAAGATTCACATTATGGCAATGGTGTCCACGCGCTTTGCTCTCCTCAATTCTGACAAGTCTCTCGAAAATCAGTAATACCATAGGCACTTGAAGTGATTAAAATTTCTTATATCATCTTGTCTTGCATACCACAGTAGGGACAAAGTATATCACGCGCCATATTGTTTTGAATCGGTGAATTTCTTTCTAAGATTATCGCACAATAGTTGCTACTTGTAACACTCTCCTTCCGTTTTGTTGCAGACTAGACTTCCTTTAGTTCTTATACAACCCCCAATTTCAATAAAATGATCATTTTATAGCGTTATTATTTACAAATCCAACTTAACGCAATATCAATTTCTGAATGGGCGGGAAGACGCGGTGTTTGGGAACCTTTTATTTCTGATTGGTTAATGCCCATGAAGTTTTCCTTAGTAACAGTCTAGTCTAGATCACACAGTCCCTACGTCAAACTATCCGTTGAACCTGATTTGTCTAGGGACTGGGTAATCAAACAAAAGAGAATCCCCTTGGCCCGAATGATCCAATTTAGTTATATTAGCAGCTATATAAAGACTCTTTGACAATAAATGGAGGCGGAATGTGTCACTCGTAGTGAATATTGTGAAATGATCGAGAACGAAATGTCTGGTTAAGTCAAAACAATATGGCGCGTGATATACTTTGTACCTATTGTAGTATGCTAGACAAGAAATGCCAGAAAGTTTGATCCCTTCAAGTGCCTGTGCGTAATACTCACAAGATACGAGCCTTAGAATTCAGTCATGTCCTAGACATGTTTTGTTGTTACAAAAGCTAGTGCTCTCTTTGAGAGCAAAATTATAGGCTAATTAGCCTACCAAGGGAATTAACTCTGTCCTCCTAAAAGGACCATTCGTCTCTCAGTTATAATCACAATTTCGCCCTTCTCTTGGTTATACAAGATTGTGTCTTGACTTCCAGAATTCTTCTGTATCAATCAGGCCATGCAGCTGCTGAAAAACCACAGAACAAACAGTACACGAATAGGCTACAGCACAGATTATTCAAAATGTCTTCGCATATCAGGCTGCTATTTACGCAACCCAAGCGTCATTTTCTACGCCGTTTTTTTTTCTCGTCACATACATCGTTTTTCACAACACAATATTTACGTTGATATAAATTAAAAGGTTAAAAAGACTTCTTGCTGGGGAACACTTTGTCTTCTCTTTGTAACATTTTCATCAACCAGACAGCCGTCGGCAGATTCTGGCAACCCAAAAACTTCTGACGTAGTTCACGGGGCGTGTAAGGTGGTGACGTATCGCATGGCGCTCCAAATATTGTGCTTCTCACGTGGATGTGTCGACCTTCACTGTATTGTGGTGATGAATGCTTCACGACATTTTTACTTTTCTGAAGAAAAAGAAGAAAGAAACATGAAAAGAAATGCTAAACATAAGATTTCCCGAGTTATAGCTATTTAAATCATGGATAAGTCATACACTTTGTGACTTTAAGATACCGACACCGGGGACCTAGGATAGAAACGCGATGGTCATAACGTCGAAACAGACACCAATGAGAACGACAAGATCATGACCTTATGGTTAATAATGACGTAGATGTTAAGGACGATGGTGACAGCAGGTGTATCATGACACAGACACCGATAATGGTGTTGACTTGATTAATGATGACGATATAACATATCGTGACCTAGGCATGATTGATGCTGATGATAAGGCGTATCGTGACCTAGACGTGGATATTAACACGACTATCTTAATAGAGTCATGACGACACGACTTCGCGTCGGTGATGAGGGTGATAATGTGACGATACGACTTCACGTCAGTGATGCGGGTGATAATGTGACGACACGACTTAACGTCGGTGATGAGGGTGATAATGAGGGTGATAATGTGACGACACGACTTAACGTCGGTGATGAGGGTGATAATGTCATGGTTACTCATAACAAATATGAAATACAACCATGACGCGGCAGCGGCTTATGACACTGAAAACAATCTAAATCAAGATGTCGATCAGGATAATAATGACATTTTTACCTCAAAAATATCCCTCGTGCACATGTTTGAGCTGTTATTATTCGACCAATGGAGAGTAAATTCGTCATCAAATGAATATTCATTACTTCGACCACTGGTGAAAACAATGACATTGGAATGGTCGGGTGAATTCTTGAAATGTTCTGCTATAACTCCAGAATAACTCTGGTCAACCATTAGATGAACAGCTTTCGCGGCACAATTCTTGAGGTCATCCATTAGTTCAGATACAGGATATTTTTCATTTTCCTCTGCCTGAAATAGTAGGTTTTAATAAAAATAAAATTATTGAAGTTTTACCATGAAATATGAATTTAAATCAAAATTGTCATTCTTCCAAAGAAACGAACAGCCATATCCTTCAATACTAGACTTGTATTAGCGTTGTATGAAAGAATAATTAGTCCTTTGGATATCTTAATAATTGAGAATGACAATTTCGAACGACCGATCATGTGATAACCTATAAGTGCGCATGAGTCATCAAATAGCGAGCGTATGCGAGAAGTTACTACCACTGAACGATCCCTTAGTGATAGTTAAGTCGTTATTTCGAACCACCGGAAATAACTAGAAAACGGCTGAGATTGTATCAAAATTGTGATGTTCCGTAATCAAACTTACCAGTCCATCACTGTTGCTATCCCATAAAAGAGATGTGCCGTCATTTTTAGCTGGATTATTGAAATAGACCACCAGGGAATCAACACAGTGAGCTGACAGACACAGTTTCCGTAAATGGTATCGTACTGCTAGTTTCATGGCGGCTGGGTGTACTCGCTGGGGTGCATCACCTTGTCCTGCAATCACAAAACACAATTATTGGTTAGGTAATAATATCATCCGACATTGTAAATGGAATTGAATACGGCTTAACGTCGTCGTGTCATCATAATATCTCGGCAATTTCAGACTAACAATATCACATGTACAATTCTTGTGAGGAAAATTTTGCCTGGACAGCGTTTGTTGTACCTATTCATCATCGAATTTCAACTTCCAATTCCACACATTAGACTAGAAATGACTGTTCACATGTACTGTCCACTAATAATGTCAAAATTTGGAGTCTTCAAATATTGAATTAAAACTGGCTCTCAAATATTGGACAGATACTACGAAAAAAGGGCGGGGGGGGGGGGGGTAAATGCTAAAAGCTAAGGGTCATTGCAGATTTCGTCATAGGTCACGACATGTAAGTTGGGTAAGCGCATTTTATCTCGTGATCTATGGCGAAATCTGCAATGGTCCTTAGCTTATAGCTCTAACCTACTATAAGTACCCGAGTGTTTGGGGGTTGTATTGGGGGTACCTTTAAACTGCACACAGATAGGAATTATGTGTTCGACATTCCTGAAATAGCGTCTTTTTCAAGTTATTTAAACAATATCTAAAGCAAGAACTGTAATTGTTCTAAAGGACGCATTTCACCCTGAGAAAGTAATAGAACATTAAACTAGCGTTCAGTAAAGCACAATTAAGAATCGTTTTCTAGGAAATTACTGGACTCGAACCAAAAGACACCCACTCGCAGGAATTCCTCGACTCCGTAAAATGTTGAAGTGTTTTCGTAAAATCATTGTAACAATGAAAACGCGCACTTGTTATTGTGGTGAATTTACTTGAAACATGCCACATTTACGCTTGGTTAAAATTTAAAACACTCTATTCCACTCAGTTTGAACTGTTAAAAGCTCCGAGTCGATATTCAATTAATAACTACTTTCATGGAAATTTAGTGGATTTTTTTCGTCTACCAGATGCCCCTAAAACCACATAATCAGCAAAAATTTATATCAACCGTACCAGGTAAGCATGAGTGCGAAAATCTCAGAAATAAATGAGACAGAAGATAAACTTTCGTCGCTTTTATTAATTATGATTCTAAATTCATGAAAAATTGATAAATGTGTTATGGAAAATTTCATTTATAAATTGTTTTTCTATCATTCGTTTATTTAAATCACTTTTTGGCAATGCGTTTATTTTCAACCAGTAGTCTAAATTAAAAGGTAGACGAATCTTATCATTAAAAACATTCTATTGAGCTATTTCAGTTTTGTGTAAATAAACCTTTGATGTTTGGCCGCCTGTAGAGAAAAGTTATTTCTTTTGATCACGTGGGGAGTTTTGTGGGCTGTTCCATTCACCCCCGTCTTTATTCAAATTACATACAAACAGTAAGGGATAAAAGATAAAACTGATTCTCCGGTCATTCTATGTTCCCCCCCTCGAGCCGATCAGCTTCTAAAGAAACAATAGTCGGCTAGTTCTCTCACTGGACAACTTTAAAGGCACATCAAAGGGAAGATAACAATTATTGACGTGATAATTTTCTCCATCTATCTAACTTCTCTCTGTACGTCTGGCTTCTTCTCATCTAGAACTATCTCAAAGGGTGAACTGATTGTAAAGGAGATGTCCATTTCACCAGCACAGAAATCACAAATAAAAATCTCCTGTGCGTTCGATTCTATGAAGTCTATAATTACCAATTAAAAACTCTGTCCGTGTCTCGGGTAGGGATAACCATGTTATTGAAGACATTCGACACTAAAGGGTTAATATTACAGACAAATAAAACAAACTTGGTTTGAAAGGGATGGAGTTTAACGTCCAGTCGACATTATATATTGCGCTCATGCTGAGACTAATTATGGTTGGCTTTATTTACTATGCGGTCAATTGTGCAATTTGATGGATAAGAATTTTGCCCGGACAGGAGTGTTTTACTCTTATTCGAATTATATCTATCACGGGTTCTCTTACGCATATGCTAAAGTGCACACATATGAGAGAGAGAGAGAGAGAGAGAGAGAGAGAGAGAGAGAGGTGAGGTTTAACGTCCACTCGACACAAACTAGGTCATTTCGGGACTAACATCTGGTTTAATTTTATTTCAATAATTCGCTTGCGCGTAGGGGTCTTTAGCAGTGGGAGTAACAATTCGCTTGCGCGTAGGGGTCTTTAGCAGTGGGAGGAAATCGGAGAAAACTCACGAGATGGACAGGCGACCATACTCCTTGTCACGTACAAGCGGGGAATCGAAACCACCCCAGTTGATTCCATGACAGATCTTATGACACAGCGCGCAGGTGCTAACCATTCGGCCATCCAACCCCCCACCCCCCAGGATCGGGTAAAGTCCACTGACTAACTGCGTTTTTGGGGAATTAAAATATTTCTAAATTTCGGTCGGGCAAGTGGTTCTTTAGAAGTGGGGGGGAAACCGGAGTATCGAAAGAGCTAGTCAGGAGGCGACCGATAATATGGTTGTCAAATACAGGCGTGGGGTCGAACCCATGATATTATTTGCATAGACAACACACATATACATGATCCATAGCGCACGTGTTGCTCTCAGGGCCCATATATACTTACTTATCAGTGATTTAGCTCCATTAGCGAAGAACAGCTTGATATTTCTTCTTTTAAAACCATTTCTTCTTAACATATTGTACATATTCTCAACATTCTTCTTGTGACGTAACCCTGACGTCATACGATTCCAGCCTCCTGATAGGACGACAGCTTGATCACAGATTTCAAATAATCGACAGCTGGTGCGAACCGTCTCGCGTGTGGTGGAACATCGCTGTGTATTGTCCCTTATTGGATTACAGATAATCCCGCTTGTTTCATTGGGTGTTCTTAGCACTTGGCATCGCCCGAATCCAGCCACATTAGACATGCACTCTAAATAATTTTTACGTTTTATCATGTATAATTTGTTGGCCGCCGTCGATTCTAGGTGCACCACAGGAAGAAAGTTGATCTCGCATCTTCTTGCGTAGTTCCGTCTTCTTGATCGCCTCTCCAATGCGTTGCGGCATCTACGTCTTAAAGCCAGTTGCATACATTCGCCAGTATCTGGAATAAACAAATAGGACATCTTTTTCACAAATGGTAAACACCAATCTTCTGATTATTTCCTACCTATTTTTGATCTAATATCAACCAATTACAGACAAAAAATAGGGATTTATTTGCCTTATATCTTACGCGCAGGGACGGTGCATTTGTGCCCAAGGAAAGATTAATCACTGCCCGACCCCTTTCTTGTCCCCCGCGGCAACTTAGTTGTGCTAATAATACCACTGGCCTTGTTTGTTAAAGCAGCAAACCAGATATCAATATCAGACTCTCAACTGTTAATAAATTAAATACGTTACTCGTAGTAATTTAATATCAGGATAATATACATTTTTAGTTTCTCTAAGTTTATTTTCTTGGTCTCCTTTACACGTGCGCGTGATTTCCAACGAGCGCGGTTTTTCTCTTTTGTTTTCACAAGATAGTGAATAAAAATTGATCATTGATTACAAAAAGTAATATTTTTATAGCCTGCTCAGTCCTTACCAAAATAACAAAACATTAATGAAGAAATTAAATATCTTCACAAACTGACGTCACCCCCTGGACATGATTTATTTGTTCGCGGACTCCTTTCAATCATTGTGAGTATATTCCTCCGTGCCCCTCTAGTTTAGTTTGAATGAAGATATCGTTTGTATTGTGAAGTGTTTATTGTCTTAATAAACTGAGGATTGGCAGGTTGTTGGCGTGATTTGAAGAATCCGGTGATTTTTAAAGGTCCACTTACACATTCTCCTTCCGTACAATTTTCACGACCAAATCAAATATCACGCGAATTCCATGTGGAAGAAAATGGTACCAGTTAGTGAAATGAAAGGAAATGAGGTTTAACGCCCCACGCGTCTGCACAAATCGGGCTAATGCAGACCAACAATACACCATTGCAATGAAACAAGGTGCAGCTATGCATTTATCTATGTGATGTCCATTTAAAGCGTGTGGTTATTTCTTTATCTACGTGGCGTGCCTTTAAAGTGTTGTTGTTGGGTATGTGGTATCCCTTTAGGAGTGTAGTTATCTATCCGACGTCCCTTTAAAGTGTGTAGTTAGGTGTCTATATATGTGATGTCCCTTTAAAGTTTGTGGCTCGGTATATATCTATGTAGTGTCCCTTTAAAGTGTTTGGTTAAGTATTTATCTGCAGTCCCTTTAATGTGTGTAGTTAAGTAGTTATCTATGCGGTGTCCCTTTAAAGTGTGTATTTACTTATTTATCTATCTGGTGTCCCTTTAAAGTGTGTAGTTCGGTTTTTGTGTATGGTGGTGATAAAAGATAAGATGGCGGATGGTAATAGTATTATTACTAGCATGCACGTCTGTATATCTACTGATGATTATCTGTATTCAACAAATGAACGATAACAACACGTGTATCCTGTTTCTACTTTCACTTCCCAAGTAGTTACACACAATATCAATGAACATCTTTTTTGGGACCGCTCCACAGACCGCCCGGACAATTCTGATATTCGAGGCAGACCATGAATGTATAAAGAATACTAAAACGTTTGAATTTTTAAGAAGAAATAATTATGCTACTGTTAGAATATGAAAGGAACCACGGTGACTAAATGGGTAAGGTCTTGGGTTCGATCTTGGGGTTCCTTGGGGTTTTCCAGCGTGGTTTCCTCCTCGATGTAGTGCATTACGGAGTGGCTGGCGTGGAACCTGTGTGGACATAATCATAAGCAGTCCCTGAAATGTATCGTAACTCCGTTCTAAATTCAAATTCACATTGATTCCAACATCAGAATGCTTCTATGTCATTAATTCATAATAAAACAATGGTGGAATAAAGGTACATTTCAACATCGAGTAAAACACACGGATTTTTGGATTCCTGGACCCTTTATCACCTGTTCCTTGTATTTGTTACACATTTGGAAAGCGCGTTATATTTCTCCAGTTGCATGTCCCTTTAAAATATGAATGCGAAAATGACCCGTTTATTTAGCCCCTCTATAATCGTCGACTAGGAGCCGTTTATTCCTGTTGTGTTCTAGAATATCTTCCGTTAAATATCAAAACACTGACGTAACACAAAACCTTTATTATCAACTACACAAATCTATTTTGAAACAGACTGTCTTAAATTTCTCAATTCAAACCATTGGCGCCATCTCCCGGAAAGATTAAGTACATACATACATACGTACACATATTAAAGTTAAGACAAAGGTAAGATATCGAGAGAAGTGATGTGAGGAGGGGATGGACAACGGTGTCTGGAGAAATTAAACATTTACTATAGCTACAACTGGCCCAGTTTTACCATGCGAAATTCGTACGTAACTAACGTTCGAAAACTAAATGGTAGCTAGCTTTTTTCCGCAGGTAGTGTTTCTGATGTTTAGAATGTGCGTAATTATTACTTAAAGTGGCATTTGGTAAGATTAGATAAAGAACGGACAGTTCTTGCTATAATAGTTAAAATTAGATAATGAAAAGAGAATATGCTGAAAATTTCAGTCAAATTGCTTCAGTCTGAGCCTAGACATTAGCAAATAAATTTTAGGCTAACCTCGATCGTCATTACTACCGTTACTACGGTTATTTCATCCCTTACAAAACGTATTCAACTCCACAAAACATTGCAGGCTAACGATAGCATCGAGGGTTGATTATGTTCTTGGTAAGTTAAGGCCTAAAGAAAGACCTGCAATAGGCAGATTTAGCTCTTGCATGATGCAATTTAAGACTGACGATGATTGCAAAATGCACCAATCACACACTTCAATCGGATTTTACGTGGAATCGGCAATTGAAATGGGTAACGAATGAAATTTAACTCTGCACCAACAGTGTGTCGGAAATATCATAAGAAATAAGCAGGTATGGATTTAGTAGTTTTCGGTTTTATTTGAAATCTTGAAGTGAATCCCTTCAGCTAATACAGGGCTGAAATGGATTGGAAAGGGTTACTACTGGGAGCGACACATACTTTAAAACCCTTGGCACCACGACATGTGATTATTCTGTGCGATATTTTATACTATATTGTCAGGAACTGAGACCGGAATTCCACTCACCTGTCTGTTTAGTTTTTACTAACCATGTTGTTTATTACAAATTTAACGTCCAATACATTTTTGTTTGATATTATAGACAGGTTGATTTATTAACCTTGGAAGGTTTGTATTTTATACTACTCCGCGGTGAGTGGTGAAGGAAAGGGGGGGGGGGCTGGCAAGGGAGAGTGTCTAGTCATAGGACGAAAACCCAAGGTGTAGTGTCCCTTGATAGTTGTCATTCGAAAATTTACCTCATAGCACACTGTATGCTATATGCCCGTCTTCATTAGCCCAGTCGGTGAGGAAAGTAGGACGATAAACCCCATTTCATTTTCTCCCTAGTACCCGGTAAGTTGTAGCAAGTTTGCAGAGTACGTACACTGAGAACAACTCCAGTCATTCGGTGCATTCTGGTTAGTACTCAATATCAACAAAAATTAACCCTAGACAAAAAACTCAAGTTGCATATTCCAAGTTAAAAACTCACGGCACATGTATTTAAATTGATACTAGATATTTTTTGTTAATAACGAGGCATTGAAATTGGACATTTTTGAAATTTTGCCAAATAGTTTAAAGTCTACGAGTGCATCAAATAAAAGTAATAGGCATTACGCGTCTTTGAGTTATGATGGTACTAAATTTACCAATTATTAGTAAATAAACAAGAATAATTTGTGGAAACGAATGTATCTAATTACGATATTTTTTTCTCAATTTTCGATAAGCTCGCGCCACCTATATTCTGACGCTGGTCCTCATTCAGTCTTTTCGGACAATCTGTAATTATTCAAAATATATATCATCCTACAAAAACAGCAAAAATACATCCAAATTCTCAAAGTGATTGGCAATGTCCTTCATGACGAAAAAAAACCCAACAACAGTAAGTCAATATTTCTTTTGCTTTTTTAGCGTAACATATTTTTTTTTTTACCACATACTAGATCTGTCAAACTCATCTCATCAACTTATAAGAGCCAATTTGTTCTGTCAAATCGTTTTCCTTCACGACTTTTTAAAGTACAAATGCAATATTTGTTTTCTAATTGATATAAAACAATGTTGAGTAATGAAATAATTATGGCGACATCGCTTCACTCCCCTGAAACATTTAACACCAGCAAACAGGGGCCACCCATTAAGATCCGCACGTATATGAGAGTACACAATCAGCTTCTCAATGCGCGATTTAGTAAATAAATTTGTGTTTTTAGCCGGGTATTAAGCGACCGCGCCAAGGATTAGAGTCCGAGTGGAAAGTCAGTGATCTTAGACTGTGATCAATTAACAACTACTTCATATAAATTCGTAAACATGTGTTGAGATTTACAGTTAAATTCCGTCTAGTATTCTACCGCCATCAATTAAATAGGATTTTTTTTTCCTTTCTTTTATTGTTCAATGATTTTATTAATAAATATGCTACAATAAAGACGGTAATTCCCGAGGGCCCCCTCTAGCACTACTCCAATTATAGGATTATATGAATGATATTTCAGTTTTAATTGCAATCTAACATTAAAAAATAAAACGAGAAAGAGAGAGAGAGAGGAGGAGAGAGAGAGCATTATTTGCGTGTGCGTAGGCATCTTTAGCAGTTGAAGGAAAGGTGGAGGTCCCGAAGATAACCTATGCCCCTACAAACATGGGATCGAAACAATGAAGTTTGACTTCATGACAGGCCTTATGATCCAAAGAATGTCCGTATGTAAAATATGTAAATATGTAGACTGAAATTGACACTCGGACACGTGAAAATTGTGTGGCCTGTTGCGTATCGTATGCCCCATAAAACCTGTTTTCATTAAATTTGTTAAATCATTGAGATAATCTATTCCTTTAAAGATATCTAATAAAGGAAACGATAAGATAAATAATGTCAATTGTGAGTCACTTTAAGGTTTTATAAGAGGTAAAATAGCGATAAAAATAAACCCAATGATTAAGAATCTCTCCAGAAACACTCCATAAAGAAAATCAA